ATCTATTTAAATGATAAATGACTTATGACAAGTCATGTAAGTCATATAAGTCATATGATGTCATGTGCCAACACTGTCTATTTGTGCTGATTAGAAAATGTAACAAATCAGACGTAAATAGTATCAAAATCAGCCTAAAATCAGCTATCTGATTTTTAGCTGATTTGGACTATTTCGACCAGTGTAAGATTAAGAGATCTGTTGCTATACTTAAATAATCCAAATCTTTTGCTAGACGAACTATAAATTCATGTTCAACTTGTAATTCTTTTTGTATAGATGAATGTGATAGAGTTTCTTTACTGAAGGAGGAAACACCTACACGCCTATCATCTTCTAACCATTTATCATTAAGTTGGGTAAAAAAGGCATTAAGATCTGCTAGATTTCTGATTTTAATCTGTAATTCCAAATTTTCAGGTAAATGACTATAAAGAATAGGTAAAGTATCTGTAAATGATAAAGCATCTACACGTGGTCTAATCCATTTTTCATATGTTTCTGGAGTATCAATAGAAAGAAATTTATCAGACATAAGCACTTTCATAAAAGCCTATGCTGAACCTAGTTTTATCGCACAATATGTTTCTTGAAGCTATACTATAAATAATGCTGAAGTATTGACCACATTTCCTGTATTATTATTAAATGGATTAGAAGAAGTAAACTTTCCTGTCATCTTTCTTGCTAATACATTAGATTTTACACTATTATTAAAGACTGCCACTCCTAATGAATTGTTATAATTAATTACCTGCATAACCTTATTATAATAGTCATCTAAAAGTAGTGCTATTGCATTTAAAACTTCTAGTAAGGTAGTCATATTTCCAAGTGGATTATTTTGTAAATTCAAAATAATTTGCCTCGAATTTAATTCCTTAGCCTTCCATTTTTGATATTGATTATATAGTCAATCTTAATTATTTTCTAGCAATCCTATATTATTTCTACTTTGACGATAATATCTTTTTAAATTCTGAGCCTGTTGAATACATGCAGTGTATCTTTTTTTCATTAACATTTTTTACAAACATTTTCATATACCATATCTAGGGTTGTTAAAGTTAGTCTTGGTCTGGTCCTAGTCCTGAGACCTATAAGTCTTATTATACAGACCTACAGACCG